AGGTACACAGTCCTATCCGGCACAGCGCTGCCAGCAAAGCTTTGAAGTGCAGCCCTGGAAACGAAGCTTTCGCTGCAGGAATGGGAAAATGCCAGGACAGAGAGATCTCCGCCTCCATCACTCACTGGCCTGGGCAGAACTGGGAAAACGAAGCAGTTTTTTAAAAGGCGAATCTCCAGGCGGGGAACGGGGCATATTTGTTCTGCAGTTACAAGATCTTTGCTCTCTTGCATTTTGCTCCAGCCCAGTAACCAAAGGGTTATTTCCACCAGCGTGGGCAATGCACAGAGCTATTCCCACAGCTACCTTAAGGACCGACATCAAGCTGTGGACACCGCTGGCTCCCAGATAGAGCCGGACAAGCCCCAGTTCTGGGGGGAAGAAAGAAGCAGGGTGGAAGGTGGGTCTATTTACCCCACTGACTCTTTCTGGTGAGGGGCCAGGCCTTAAACAGAAACTGTCTGGTGCATCTTCCAAGGAGCTGGCCCAGCATGGAGCTGCCTCTTGGCAGAGGGAGACGCCAGCTTCCTCCGTCAGCGGGGCGATGAGCAGCTTCACACACGCTCCATTGAGTCACTGCTTCGTTGGTGGCCTCCCCAACGCGGGATGGCTGAGCCCAGCCACCCCGGGTGCACACGGGGGAACCATTTTAGGCTCCAGTGACAGAGGCGTCAGCGAACACTGCTATAAATAGCGGTGTTGAAGGAACAAGATGGTCAGGCTGTCCAAATCCTGGCACGGCCCCACTAGCGCTGATAGCAAGTGCCCTTTTCTTGTTCTCTTGCCGCCAGGTCCTCTTATCTATTCTTCCAACTCTGGGTGTTTCTGTCGCCCTGTCACCAGGTCCCCTGCCCTGACATTTTAGCCTCCTGGGATGGCTGCATGTCCCTGCTCACAATCGTTGGCTCTTATTCTGCACTCCAGAAAGGATGTAAACTAAATGTGCTGCAGGGACACGGTGCATTCCCCACCAGTGCAGCCTGGGACCCCTCATGGCCAACACCACAGGGTTGTTGGGACAGCCCTGTGTTTGCATGGCCCCTACACGCTGGGACCTGCTGCTGGGCATGCAGGCATCACCATGGAGATACGGGGTTTCACTACACTTAAGAGCACTTCTGGATCTCTGCTTTTCTTCTGCAAGGAAGACGTTATCTCTGGATCATTCTGCTCTCTGTAACGGTGATGGGGAAACTGAGGCAGGGAGGTGTCACGACTTACCTTACAAACATGAGGACCAGGAGAGCAGAGCTCACACTCTGCCCGATCTCCCTGCCATGGTCATCAGGGGCGTCACACCCTTACCAAGAAGCCCCACAAGTTCTTGGGGTTAAATTCTGGGTTCGTCGTGAAAAGCTGTTCTTGCTATTCAAAGGCCATGATTACCTTGTGAACATCTGCGCTGACAATAGCTGAGTGGCAGCATAATTCTCCATCAGCTCTGCCTCCGCCTTCTCCTCCTCCATGTTCTTTATTTTGAAGCACAGTCATTGCAAAGCCCTTCAATGCCTGATGAAGGAAAAAGCTCAGAAAATGCAACAGAAACAAAAACTCAGGCTTGCAGCAAACCAACGCCAAGACACCACAGACCCAACTGCACAAACTTCCTCCTTCCCTCCCTGCATGGCCTTGGTCCATGTCTCTCCATGACCCGTTGGCTCCTTGGCCCAAATGCCAACGCTGGTCCCCAGGAGCGAGTCATGGGCTCGGGGTGGTCTTTGCATGAACATCAGAGCCAGCTCTTGGCTTTGGCATGGACATCCTGACCTCTCAGGGCTGGGTGGGCCCACCTGGACTTTCACTGGTGCAACATGGGCCTTATCAGTGCTGGAGTTTGATTTTTTTTTTTTCCTCTGGTCATCTGGTAGAAGAACATGCAGGACTGGGCATGGGCGTGGGGAAGGCATCCCAGCAAACAAGGCTGCATGAGAACGCTCTCTGCCGAGGGCCATCCATCCCTTAAACGAACACCCCTAGCAGAGATGCTGCCCTGAGGCCTATGGACATTCCTTGGCTATATTTGGTGACGGATGGAGAATTTGTTGCTTCCCCTTAACCCATCTGTTCTCCTTATTGGTGGGGAGGAGCTAACACCAGAACTGCAGTGTCGCTATTCGGATAAACCCGGTACTTCAGCAACAATAAGTCTCCTCTAAAAAGCCTTTGCTGCCTCCCACCTGTTGGCTGGGAGAAGACCAAGTTGACAAAAGTCTTCTGCCAAACTGTATTTTTATCCAGGACTTCACAATGAGTCCAGGTTACAATAAAAGCCTGAGGGAGGCAGCTGTATCACGAAGCAGAGGGAGGTAGCTGTATCACAGCACCTCTCTCAACTCTGGAATCCCACCTCTCCCAGAGGTCTCCAGTTCCCAGGTAGCTGCTTTTATTACATTTTCTGAATTCCCTGAAATCCCAAAAGGCCCTTTTTCTCCTCGTCTCCCCCACCTCTTCACCATAAAACCTGGGAGGTCCCAAGCAGGCACCCCAGACTCTCTTGCTGGCTGCACCAGGGAGCCAAAATACCCATTGTGAGAATGGCAACAGAGCGAGCCGGGCTGCGACCAACACAGTTTATTACAGAAAAACACGCAGAGGGATTTCATTAACATGGCAGTCCATTCACAAGAAAAACCGCCGGAGGACAATGAAGTGAAACCCACAGCAACAACACACAGCGGGAAAGACCAGTCGTCGGCCAGCACAGCACAAGAGGCACAACCGCACTGGCCCATTGGGGTGGGAGACGTGCCTAGCCCATGCAGCTGGTCCTGGGGACCGCATCGCCCCCCCCAGCCTGAGGGGATGTCACGGGGCACACAAGGAGTACACAAGCAGCAAATCCACGTCTGCCAGTTGTGATGGAGGAGAAAAAAAACTAGTTGTAGTGATGGAGGAGAAAAAAAACCATAGGAAGGAAGCCATGTGGATAAAAGCAAATGGGGCAGCCATTGCAGGAGCGGAAAATCCTCCCCACACAGGAAGGACTCAGGAGGTGCAAAGGGAGGTCTACCTCACTTGGAGCCCGTTTCCCGAGCCCCACCTCTCCCAGCAAGCCCTGGCAGCAGGAAGACCCTAAGCAGAGTCACTAAAACTCCTGCCTCCACTGTGCCCCTGCCCCCCAGCTTGCACCCAGCTCCCTGTGCACCTCAGGACCTGGAAAGGCAGCAGTGAAAGCTGCTGAGATCCAGGGTCCTGCCCCAAAACCACAACATATTGCTTCCCTGGAGCTAACAGCACCTTCAGACAGGGTATCTCCTCCTGCACAGCCCAGCCCTGCCAACACCCCTCATTCGAAGCACGCATCCCCCATGGCACCCGGTGCAAGCATCCATCCCCAGTGGTTGTGCTTGCATCCTGTATCAGATCCCACCGGTACCCTGCCCTGGCCGGGGGTCCCTAAGGGCTTGTTGACAACCCCGTTCCTCTTGCAACGTCACCTCCTGGGCTGGCGGGAGGCCCCGGCGCAGCCCGTTTGTGAGCTGAGCTTGGCTGGGCTTCCACAATGCGATCTTCAGGAAACACCTTGGAAATGTCTCCTGGGAGGCCAGGCTGTTCTCCCCCTCCCAGCTGCCAAAAAGGTCTCCAAGATACAGTTCAGATCCCAATATTCATTCACATTAAAAAGATGAGACCTTTTTATAAACCTATATATTAACAGATGTGTTACCGAGATGCTCATTTCTTTCAAGACTTTTTTTGTTTGTTTGGATTTTAGACCTTCCTCTAAGGTGCTTGTCACCCAGATGTGACAAATAACAGTCTGTGAAAGTGAGATAGTTCAGGGGGGAAAAAAGTGCAATTTGCTTTTCACTGCTAGAGCAGGATTTAATGCAATGAGAAAACAGTCTCCTGAGCCACTGAAGGCATCACTAGCTTGTTTATATATTCGTCAAAAGTGCGATAACTCGAGGTCTAGCCTCGCTGTCGGGAACGGCGGAGCTGTTTTAGCTGAAACCTCCCTGCAAAGTCAAGCCAGAGGCAGACACATACCTCGGAAAACTTCAGCCCATGGAGTTGGCGTTTGTAGAAAACTACTATCAGATAAGGCTGGGCATCCTTCGTGCCCAGCCATGGGGTGTACCGCCTAAAAAAAAAACCCAAAAAAACCCCACAAAACCACAAGAAAGAAGTAATCTTTAAATTTTTTTCCCCAGAGTGTCCTTTGGGACAGGGCTTTTTGCAGAAACGTCAGTGTGATTTTCACACCGATTTCGGAGCAGCTCTCCAATTGATTTCTCTTACTGTTTTTTAATTGGAGATTTGGTTCTCTCTCACAGCATCACTAGCAGAGGTGTCTATTTTAGGAAACACCAGAGGTTTTAAGAAGCTGAGGAGAAAGATTATCAACCCATAGGGGCTCAGCCTAGAAAGGGGGAAAAAATCCTCTAAAACTCCCAGGCTGAAATTCTCTGCAGATTTACCTAAATCGACTTCAAGTGATATCCTAAATATATTAGGGCCTGCTTTTAACGTAATTCAAGCCCTAGGCATGTGTCTGTGGACCCTGGACGGCTCAGACGAGAGCTGGCTTTGGATGCCTCACTGAGATGATTATTTTGAAGTGCTAACTCATGCAACTGTGAAACCCAGATTTAAAAACCTGGGCCAACAATACACTAGCCCAAAGCTCCAAGCAGGAAACAGGATTTTTTTTTTTTTAAATATATGTAAGTGTTTGTTTCTATTTTTCCAAATCTTAGTGCATGAAAGGAAAGCTGTTCAGCTGACAAAATACACTAGCCGCTCCAAGCAGGAAACAGGATTTTTTTTTTTTTAAATATATGTAAGTGTTTGTTTCTATTTTTCCAAATCTTAGTGCATGAAAGGAAAGCTGTTCAGCTGACAAAATCTTGGTGAAAGGACAAAGGACAAAGACATGGAAGATTTTCCGGCTGGGGAGCAGGGGCTGGGTCTGTGAAGGAACAATATTATGGTTTAATTTTAGTTAAAAGGGACAGCATTTTGTTTCAAAGCTGCAAGAAGGGTTTTTGTTGTTTCTATTTTTCCAAATCTTAGTGCATGAAAGGAAAGCTGTTCAGCTGACAAAATCTTGGTGAAAGGACAAAGGACAAAGACATGGAAGATTTTCCGGCTGGGGAGCAGGGGCTGGGTCTGTGAAGGAACAATATTATGGTTTAATTTTAGTTAAAAGGGACAGCATTTTGTTTCAAAGCTGCAAGAAGGGTTTTTGTAAATTCCCAAAGGCTTTGGGAATTACCTGGGGTTTTAAAGAAATGCCAATAGATTAAACCTGCCTGGCACAAACAGTCCACAAAAGGTGAGATCCATCCTCAAGGGGTTTTGCCTGAAGCAAGTGCAGAGTGCGGATGAACAGGGAAACGGCTCATGGGGCTGCCCGGCGCAGGGGAACCTCCGGCCCCACAAGGAATGGGGACAACACCACGACATTGCAACGAATACAGAGGCGAAAGGAAGCCTTTCGTCAGCCCCCTCCTCCATCCGTGCCCCCGACAAGGCTCCCGCTGGGGAATAACCTTGCACTCGCCAGGGCAAACACTCTCTGCCTTGCAGACCACAACCCAGGTCAGAGCGTGGTGCACGGGGTGAAGCCTGTGCCGCACACCGGGGGCCGCGGGACCAGCCAGCTCCGCTACTTGCTGTTCGGGGTTTGCTTCTCCTGCACCGGCCGCTTGTGCTTCTGGGCGATGCCGTAGGGGACGTGGGCAGCGACAGTGCCCATCTCCTTGGCTCCCTCCACGTGGAACATCTGGTCATCGAAGAAGATGTGAGGACGGATCTTCTTCAGCAGCGGCCCCTTGGGAGCCCCGGCCAGGAACAAAGCTTCATCCGTCTCCAGGCCCCAACTGCGCAGAGTCTTTAGGGCCCGGGCTCCCGAGCTGGCCGCGCTCCTGGCAGTGACCAGGTAGGTGCGAATGGGACACTCCATCCTCAGCCCCTTGGAATAAAACTTCTTCTGCAGCTTCCCCAGGGCCTCCAGGAAGCCCTTCAGGGGGCCCTGCCAAAGCAAGAAGAAACCATCACTTTGCAGACCTCCATGCTATCCCTTTCTCCAGGCACCCAGTCCCAGCAGAGCCAGACATGCTGGCTAACCCCTTCTCCCTGTGAGCCCCCAGAAACGACAGTGAGGGGCCAGACGCAGCCATCCTGTGGGCCAGCAGTACCAGGCTGCTGACCCACCCCATCTCACACTCCACATGCCGACCCCTGGCTTGTTCCCAGAGGCGAGAGCATCCCTGCAGGCTGTCTCTCTCCCAGAGGCTTTTCTGGCTGCATCCCAGCGCTACCTGTGCCAGAGGCTTGTTCTCGTGAGTCTTTTCATGCTCAAAGAACATGTCCAAGCCGTGAGCCTTCACGATCTGCTCCGACTCATCAGAGAAGAGCACGGCGTCACCATCAAATGCCACCCGCAGCTGGTTCTCCGACACCTCCAGGTCTTTGCTGGGGCTGAAGATGGTGGCTGCAGCAATCCCTGTGGAGGTAAAGCACGAGGCAAGAGGTGGCAGTTACCCAAGGACCCGGCCTCGTGGCTTATCCGTTGCGGAGCAGAGCAAAACACAATGGCCTGGAGGCAAATGCTGCAAGGAAATGCACGCACCCAGTAGTGCCTGCAGCTTGGCCCCAAGACCTTTTTGCAGCAAAAACAAATCCCCAGATGACAAACTTCCCTTTGCATACAAGAATTAACAGGGAAAAACAGTGCCTTTGCCTTGGAAGAGCTGTGGAGCTCGAGGAAAGCCTGATTTCTATGGAAACTAGAGGCTCTTTGGAGCATCAAGGATGGGATGTGGGACAAGGCAGACCCTAGCTGCACATCAACACAGGGACAGGGACATTGGAGCTACCACTCCTGGCACCAACCCCCTGAGGGCTCCAGGCTCCCCCTGCTGCCCCATCCCAAGGTGGACCCCAGACTCACCCTCTTCAATGGCCCCACTCACTTTCTCAGCGTCAGAGGAGAGGTAGAGGTTGGTGTGATAGGCCTTGAGGTAACAAATGGGGCTGTTCCCTCCCGTCATGCAGAACCTCTCGATGAACAGATCTGAGGGCAGATGGACCCCGGGGTGAGCCCGACTGCCCCCCAAACAAGCCTTGACACTGCTCCCCTGTGGCCTCCCAAGAGTCGGCAGGATGGGGGCTAATTTTGGTACTGCCATTCAACAGCATGGCCGGCAGCCAGAGCATCCTCACCACCAGCCAACTTCCACTCAAAGCCCAGGAAATTTGGGAGAAGTGGGCTCAGTGCGTGGTTTGGAGGAAGAGACAGGAGAAAGCATCTCTCATCTTGCTGCCAAGCAATAACACTCTGCCCAAAACCCGCCAGCACCCACGCAAAGGACAGCTTTGCTCTCAGCTTACCATAGTGGTTGATACTGTTGATCAAGCGAACCCCAACCTGGGCATGGTTGTTGGTCATGAGGACGATGTCGAAGAGCTCCTCACTGTCAGGGTAGAGCTCGCGCAGCTGCGTGTTCACCGCTTCCAGCGCCTGCAGCACCCCAGGGCGAGGAGGGGGGGGGGGGGGGGGGGGCTGTCAGCGAGCCCCAGGCATGGCCCTGACCCCCTTATCACTGAGCAAAACAATTCTGTTCACCAAAACCAGGGATCTGGCCCGACCCCAACTACACCCTGAGCCAAGCTGACATCAGCAAGCAGCTTTAGCTGGGAAAAAAAAGACTGATTTGGGGGAAAAAAACACATAGCTACTCTTCTATTTTCAAACACAAAAGGTTTCAAGTTTTCATTAGGAGATGAGAATAAATTAGCTCAAAGTTACAGATAAGTGTTTTTCAAGCAATTAGAAACAGAACAAGTCTCTCCCCACCAAGTGGATTTAGTTTATTCATTGGGAACGGGCAAGAGATTGCTTCAGTGAGGGCCAGCACAGAAAACTGCACTAAATCCAGTGGAACTGGGACAGAAATTGGAAAATATTTTTGAAGTTTGAACTGCCTCATTTCAACATTTCAAAATTAGAAATTGGCCGACTCTGTAGCAAGGCTAAATTCAGCCAATTTAAAAGAATAAACAAATTGTAATAAAAAAAAAGGTATGACAACTCCCTAAAGGGAAACTTTAAATATGATCCAAAGAGATGATTTCTTCAATTCTTGGGCTCAGTTGCCAATTTGGAAAATTCAGCGTTTCCTCAGTCCTGGAAGAAGCACATCACTTGCCAGGAGGTTTATTTGACCTCTGTTTGCTCCGTAGCTACATCCCTTCTGCCACGCTGCTCATTTCCCATCCCTTCCCCACGCGAGCACCCCATAGCACTCCCCTCTCCCCAAAACTTTTGGGTCAGGATCACAGTGCAGATTCAGCTTAGGTGGGTGGATGCTCACCTTGACGAAGGGGAAGGCAGCCCCAGGGAGGAAGGGCTCGTTCTCATGGTCCAGCTGGTATTTCACATAGGCCTCCACCCCTTGCTCATTGTAAATCTTCTGCTCCTCCTCCATGCGGAAAAGCGCTCGTGACGACACCGCGATGGTGATGGCGTTCTCGGGCTTTGGCTGCAGGGAAAGGGAGAAAATGGGGAGGCAGCCCCTCCACCCCGCCCTGCTGCCCAAGAAGGCATCTGTTAACTTTCGACATGAAAGGCCACGGGGTGGGTGACACCTCCATAGAGATTTGGAGGATAATGGGGCAGCTGCAACCCTGATCTTCCAATGCTGCAGCAGATGAAGCCCTGATGCACCGTCCCCACACATTTGGGATACCTGAGAGCCTTTTTCTGCTGCTCGCACCATGCCCAAGCCCTCCCACTGCAAACAGGCTTCCAGGACCCATCCAGACCCAACGTGCTATCCCAGGAGAACCACTCAACCCCATGTAGAAGGAATTTGTATGGCTTTCTCTGCCCCCCAGCCAGGAAAAACCACGCACTGCGGCTCGGCCAGATCCACACTCCCACGATGCTGTCCAGATGTGACAAACAACCCGTGCCAGCTCAGCTTATAAAAACACTTGATATAGTTATTGTGGGTGGAAACATGACAAACAGGTGGTGCAAGCAATGATTTATGAGTCATTATTATTAATGTTTGAGGGCTTGATCCCAAATCCACCGAAGTCAACAAGGGGCCTTTAGTGGGACTTGGCAGCGAGAGAGGGGACACCAGGAAAGTCAATCTCATCTTGACCCCTACCCATTCTCCCTCTCCCCTTGGAGGGCAGAAGGGTGTTAATCCCCATCACTCACTTGCAAGCATGAAAGCAAATTAATTCCTGATGGCCAGCAAGAAATCCTCACTCCCAGAACAGCAAATCCTAAGGAGGGACAGGGGCACAGGCAGCCCTGTCCCCAGCAGACTGTGCCTGCAGCGAGTCCTGGGAGCAGGACAGGGCTTGGGGGCTCGCACAGGCGATGCTCCCCGGGAGCCGCGAGCAGTCCCAGCCCGCGCGCTCTCTGGCTGCACTCAGGGATGCATCTCCACAGGGAGCCTGTGAAATCCAGGCCATCAGCACTTCAGAAACACCTCACCCTCAGCTCCTCTGTGATTTCCAGGATCCTCATGTAGCATGTTGCCCTGTGAGTAATCCTCCAGCAATGTCATTTGCCCAGGGGCAGGAGGGCACCTTGGCCAGCCACTCTGCACACCCAGGTGCTCCAAAGTTCAAGCTCCCACCCTTCCTAGGGCTGAGCTTTACAGGAACAGCAGCCTGCAAGGACAAGGTACCTCATCCGCACCCGGGTTCATCACTCCCCGCAGGGCTGGGCCTGCCCCGGGGCTCGCTCTGCCCCCATCCCAGCCCCGCAGATCCTGCCCAGCATGGAGACGCACCCAGGAATGAGTCAATGACAGCCCCCATGCCATTCCCAGCACCGCGCCCGCACCCCGTAAGCAGTGCCCGGGGCCAGCCCTGCAGCGCGGTTGGTCCCAGACACCTCTCCAAGGCTGCATCAGTATCCAAAATCCCCAGCAAGCAGATTAAGCAGTGGGCAATTAGGACTAGACACAGATTAGCTCAGGCTGAGAACACCACTGTGGCCAGAGGGATCCCTTTCCCACAGCGTTTGCAGAGAAATAACGTCCCATTTGGAAGTGGCTCTTTTGAGAAAGCAGGTGAACAACCCCCAGGACACACAGGATCACCCAGGTCCACGCAGAAGCTGATCAGCGACACCAGCATCGCTCCCACAAGTCAACCGCAGCCAGATCCCCACTTTACATTTACCTACCTGGTGGGCATTAGCTATTAACTTGTCATGGGCCAAGACTTGGCACTCCAACTCATTAATTAATAACTCTGGTGTCATGGGCCATTTATTAGCTGAAAATATTAATAACTATTAAAGGTCTTGGGACATCCGGCCATTAGCCTTCAGCAAGGAGTCTGCACTCCGTGCTGCTCCCAAGTCTCTGCGACGCTGGGTTATTTATCTGGGTACGTAGTTGAGCTGCCGGGCGTTTGCTCCCCGCTCCTGGTCCCCGACGGACCGCAGGGCAGAGCATCCTCCACAGCCAGCCCTGCAGGAGGATCCCCAGCAGAGAAAGTAGGTCAGCAGCACGCACAGCAGAGGCATGTTCAAGGGGGCGAGATGCTTGTGTGGGGCCATAAGCTGAGCCTAGCAGGGTGCCCAGCCTGAATTTGCATCTCTATCTCCCGCGGCACTTGCACCAGGCAGGTCCCAAGAGCACAGGCACCTTGCGCAACAGCAACAGGATGCTCAAGGTCCCTTCCCTGCCATTTAAAGGCACCAGCCTCCAGGAGGTTAATTTAAGAGCTAATAAAAACAGCAATAAAAATAACTGTAAGCTTGGGGCCTAACTCTGCCCCAGCGTGGGCTGCTGGAGCCCCAGCTGCCTGCGGGCGGGAAGCCCGGCCTCCGGGAATGGGACCTGCCGGATCCTGTTCGCTCCTGCCAAGGAAGATTTGCACCTTTGGAGCGCTTTCTGCAGGAAAGTCTCACCCGGACACTAATGCAGCTCCCAGCTCTGGCTGGGCTGGAACAGCCCTGCTGTTCTCTGGGAAACGCTGACATTTAAAAAATAAGGCAATTCTGCTCTGCGAGGACAGAGCTGCATTTCGACATTTCTTTGAAGTGGAGGTTTCATTTGGAAGCATTCCCTGCTCAAGGTTGTTTGGATGCTTCTCTATCCCCACTAGTACTGCAGATGATCATCACTACTTTAAAAAATGGGCTTTAAAAAGTCACAGCGCTACAGGAACCACAGCACCTCAAATCCTCCATCAGAGTGCTGTGAACAACCCAACAAACCCCACTTTGCCTTGAAACATCACAGTTTTGGGGGAAAACACCCTGCATTTTTAACAGGAAGCGTATGCATGGGAGGGGTCCCACTCGCAGTCCTCGTCGGGATGCATTTAGTCCCACAAGCTGTCGTGGAGCCCGCGCAGCACCCAATCCCAGCACAGCCTCCTGCTCTGGCTGCCCCAGCCCCGGCGGGTTTGGACACTCTGAATGACAAACCCTGTTTTGCCCTCAGAGCAGCATCCAAGGTCAGCCAAGGTCGATTAAAGCTCATCATCCAACACCAGCCCAGGAAGAGGCTGCAGGGCTCTGCTCAGCTGAATCCAACCGAATTTGCTGCCTGGGGATTCATGGTGAGCTCCTCTCTCTTCCTCCCTTCCCACGGGAAGGTCAGATCCAGCCCCATCCTGAACATCAAGCAAGAGATTAATGATGTGTTTAACAGAAGTGTGAGCAGGGCAGCATGGGGGAAGGTCCCATCCCAACCCTGGGTCCATCTTTGGGCTCAGCTGGACAGGAGGGACGAGCAGGGACACGTCCTGACAGCCCAGATGTCTGAAGAGGAACATCAGCCCTTGGCACAGCCTCCAGGTGGTCCACGAGGTCCAAACCCCATCTCAGAAGCATAAGTGACCTTTCCAGCAGGCTCTGGCTCCACGAAGTGCAAAACCTACCCCAGACGCAAACACCCCAGTTTTGGGGTAAAGACGTATTTCAGTAGTGACTGGAAATGGCACATTTTCCTCTGCAGACCCAACAGCTGGCAGGCCTTTAAATCGCCCTTTTAATCAGATGTAAATCCTAAGCGGCCCCCCAAGGATTAGAGGCAGACATTTGGAAAACCCACACGCTCCCAGGATGCGCAGCGGGGCCGTGTCCTCCCACCCGTGAGAGCCACAGGTGCCCATAGTGGCACCCCCCACCGCCACCCCTGGAGGCCATCACTGGCTGGCTCCGAGGCAGGAGCCACAGTGGGGACCCCATTCTGCACCCCTTGATCCTTTTGCATTGCCTGGGGCTGAATCTGCTGGACCCACTTCGATCCTAAAAACCCGGAGGAACTCTGGCAGCTCCGGGCACTTCCCTGGATGCTGCAGAAGACCAAATCCTTGTGGCCAAATTCAAAATTTGGAAGCGAATTTTGGTGTGAGATTGGGTCACAGAAAGGGAAGAGGAAGGGCTTGCTCCAGGGTCAAGCATGGTCCCCACCCCAGCTAAAGCATCCCAAAAATGAGGCACCCTGGTGAGCCGGATGGGTCTCCATGGGTGCAGGGGACTGGCAGAGCAGGGGACAAGCAGGGTGCCCAGAGGAGTGGAGCTAGCAGGCCAGCTGCCACCAACCCAGCCTCTCCTCCCTGCGCAGTGTCACTGGAGAGGCTGGGGGACATTTTCCGCATTGCTGAAGAGTGACAAGTCTCATCGCTGACCTCCCCAGCCGGCAGGAGCGAGGCCGGAGCAGGCGTGGGAGCCGGGGCGTGGGAAGAGCGGAGACCCCTGCGAAGCGGGGAGCCCCATGGGCTGCGGGGACGCCCTGTTAGTCCATTTCCCAGCCAGGAATGGGCTCCCCAAAAACGGTCCCCAAAAACCACCCTGCCTCCTGCTGTCTTACAGCCCATCTCCAGGAGGGAGCAGCCCCTACAGCTCGCGCCTGCTCCCCCACCGGTACCTGCTCCGGCTGGCAGAGATGTTCGGCCGAGAGGACGGACAGACCCGGCACCTGCAAGGGTGCAGACAGACGACAGCAAACTCCCATTTCCTACGTGCACGAAGGAGCCCTGGGCGGCCGCGAGCCCCCTGCTCGGGATCAGATTAAAGTTCAGGGCAATGGCTGAGATGTTTTTGAGTTTTCCAAACGCATTATTTATAATGCAGAAAAGCGCTCTGCAGCCGTCCATCATGTCCCGGTGACAGCTGCCTGGCAGGGCAGCCCAGCCCAGTTTGCGAGCACAGCCGAGCTGCTTGGCCACAGGGCCCCCAGCCTGCCCCGGCAGACGGGCGCAGGGCTGGGCAGGCACCACGGGCATCGGCCCCAGCCCCACACGGGTGGATGGCGCAGCCTAACTTCAGGGCCTGAGTGCCTGGATCTCGGCTCTGCCGCCAGTTTGCTGTGTAAGCAAACCACATCACTGCCCCGTGCCTCAGTTTCCCCAGCTGTACAGCAGAGACGGACACGTGCTGGTCACCGAGCTTGTTGCAAGGAGAGGAAGAGGAGGAGCCTGGGCTGACATCCGCAGGAGGCTGAAAGCATGGCCTGAAAGATAACCAGCTGCATCCCGCCACCAAGCCAGGTTGTCCCTCTCCTCCCGGAAGGGCGAAGGCAGCAGCGCTGCCAGTTGGCAGCAGGTACAGGACCGGGAGCTGCAGCCTGGTCCCCAACGGGGACAGCACAGGGGCTGCTCCAAGTTGGGGTCTGCGGAGCAGGGGCTTGGCCGTCTCCCCTTGCGGAGAGGTCACATGCAGAGCTTTGCCGCGAAAGGTGTCGGCTGCCACCAGGCTCCCGACCTCACCGTGAGCAGCACCTCTGCCGGAGCCCCACACTTCAGGGGGACCCGCAGCCCCGAGGACGGCTATGGCTGGGTGGGCTCGCAGGCTGCAGGGCCAGGGCCAGCCCACCCCGGGGCGCAGCCCCCAGCCCCGCCAGGCTGCTGTAGCTATTCTGAGATACAGCAGCACTTCCAGGCGCTCCCATGTTTAAACCCGGAAGGCTCAGCCCTGGTTAGATAACACAGGCTTTCCCTCTAATCTCCCGGAGCAGGCGAGCCTGACAGGGGCAGCTACGCTCCTGCGACACCCTGCTGCCCCAGGCAGGGATTCAGCCCCTGGGCTGTCCCCCTGCTCTGCCGCAGCCACCCCTCCTGCCCCTGGCAGGGCCTCCCGCCTTGGCACAGGGGACAGGCAGCTCATGGGGCACAGAGCCGCTCTGCAAGGACACCTCTGCCCAAGAGGGACCCGGGAACACCCCAGGGACCTGCAGGAACCGAGGGAGACCCAGAGAGGCTAGGGGGATCTGGAGAGAACCCAGGCAACCAAGGGCAACCCAGGCACACCATGGAGGAGTGGGGGCACCTGGAGAGACCCAGGGCTTCCCCAAGGACCTGGATGGAGGCAGGGGTCAAAGAAAAACCTGAGACACCCGGGGGACCCCAGAGCACCTGGAGGAGATGGAGCACCCAGAGAGACCCAGATGGTTCCACAGGGGAACCCAAAGAACATGAAGCACCCAGGAGGACCCCAGAGGACCTGTAGGAGATGGGGCACCTGGAGAGACCCAGGAGGACCTGGAGGAGATGGGGCATGCAGGGGGAGGTACCCAGAGGAGATGGGGCACCCAGAGGGGCTGGTTCCCCTCCGGGGTGGGGAGCACTGCCCGGCTCGGCACCTCGGGAGCTCTCACCGATTTGGGCTTCTTCTTGGGGACGAGGTTGTCGTAGAAAGCCTTGGCCTCCTCCCAGGGCCGCCCCGTCGCGCCCG